ACACACATACACCAAGGATGGCCGGTCCCCGTGTTACAGGTCCCGTCACCAAGCTCGCCCGCTCTATCAGCACCACAACCCAGGGCTCGACCCTCCTCACAAGCTCAAAGGCCTCGGCGCCTCTGTCAAGGAAATATGCAGAGCTTCTCAAGGACCGGAATATAGATATTGATGTAAGATTTCCACCCCAAGTTCCTTCCGTCCCATCCATCCCCGCTGGGTTAGTTGGTATACGCAGCGAGCTAGAAGTTGTATAGGGTACCCTTGTGCTGATAAACCGCTTTAACCACAGCATCCCCGCCATATTTACACCCGTTCCTCGAACCCACCCTACCCCCAGCCGCGCAAGCTGCGTCTCATGCAGACATTCTCCACAAGGGCCGCCGCCGCTCCCGAAGCTACCGCCCAGACCATCGACCAGTTCGTCTTCCCCGGCTCGGCAGCCCTCAAGGGCGCATCGGGGGACCCCTTCACCAACCTCCGCGTACCGCTGCTCCCGGACAACGTCGAGTTCCAGCACACGCCCGAGGTGCAGGACGCCGCCGTGACGACGCCGGAGATCAGCATCGTGGCCGCCAACCTCAACGCCGCCTCCCCGGCCGCGCTCACCGAGATCGAGGGCATGGGGGCCGACGGCGTCGAACTCCAGTTTGTCCACGAGGCCGAGTCGTCATCGGAATCCCAGAACGATATGCTCACGGGTCTGTGGAATATGGTGGACGACGTCTTTGGTCAGCAGACTAGTAAAGCCAAACTTGCCATCTAGTTTTGTATCTATCTGACAGTGACTACCTTATGCGCCACCCCTTACCCTGCCTTTCTCTTAGCCCCCCCCCCTTGACAAGAGAGGGTCGGTTTCCAATCCCTTTTTGTTTCAGGACGTCTTCCCATGCTCTTGCTCACTGGTGAAGTAGCAGCAAAGAAGAAGAAAAAAAGGGAAACGACAACAGGGAATCCCGGTCTCTTTACAACGATTGAATTTTGGCGTTTTGACTTTTTTTTTCCCCGGCGGGGGACGGGAAGGGAAGAGGGAGGCGAGACAGACAGACAGACAAGGACAAAACGATTGAAATCCCTTGCTATGCGGGTGGGATTAAGCAAACTGGTCTCGAAGAATTGAACTTGTCGTTGCCCTGAGTGATACTCGAGATCACTCTATATTTTTTTTCTTTGTCTTAGTCCTCCCCCTTGCAGATGTGAGTTGTGATAAAAAAGTGTTAACTTCAGATCGTTGGAGTCCCTTAACTGCTGTAGGGGCATTCCCCAGACCCCGCTGTTCTACCTACCTGAACTAAGTTAGTGAAAAGAAGGCAACATTGAATCATCTGATAACTTCTTCATTCTCTCACTTAAACTCTGAAGGGAGGACTGTCAAATAGTGTATGTGCACATGAAGTCTCGAGACATGTAACTTACCTACATTATTTTGTCTGGGCAGTGTACCTAAGTATCTACATGATTCTCTCAGAATGAATTATCTGAATCCTTGTACGGCGGCATAAAGCAAGGCATATGTACGTATGATAAAGTACATATGGTAACGCACCCGAGAAACTGAAATATCCCCACTTCTGTGCCTTTGCTGCGTTCAATAGCAGTTTGCAAAGAAGCCCACGTGGGCAGGTAAGGTAGGTGAGGTATGTATGTATGTACCTAGCAGTTGTTTTGTTATGTTATGTTTGGTAAGTACGGTACTAGGTTACTATGTAGATAGATAATATGTAGATACTGTGCAGCATACATAATACTGCATACATTCTAACTCTAACTCTAACTCTACCGGGTACCTTTTCTCCATTGTTGTTGTTTTTTTTGCGTTGGATAGCTTTCCCGACTATTCCTTCCAAGGGGGTTGGGTTGTGTGAAGAAAATATAGATGTTTTGGGTTTATATATATGCTATACTGCAAATAGTTAAAGTTGACTGCAAATAGGCAGCTGTTCTGTTCTATAATCGGGCGAGAGGAGGGTGCGTGCTCGGTTTGCTTTACTTTACTTACAACCGTTCCCCTTCAACTCCAATAAAACAAACAGCATATAGGGGGGAGTTGTTGTTTTCTTTTCTTCTATCCCGTACCTCTTCTTTGCTCCTTTGCTAAGAGGTTAAGTTCTTGTGGTGTAATAAAAGGCTAAGTAAGTAGGTTACCTATATTTTCTCAGAGCCTTGGTTCAACCTTGGGACCTGTCCATGTCCTTAGGCTTCATACCAGGTCGATGGGTAGGTTAGGTTAAGTCAGGTTACTCTCCTCGAAGCGTAGTTGGGTTAAACAAAATCTGCTGGACTGACCGAGTGAGGTTGATTGGGTAAGGGAGTAAGTAGGTGGCCCAATCTTGAATTCAGGGCAATAGATATAAAAAAAGAAAAAGAAAGAAATGGGCAAACAGACAGACCCCTTAAAAACGCACAACTTACTAACTTACCCTACTTGATGGCGGTTTAAATGTCGCACTTCACTCGGAGGTTAGGTAGACTAGACTGCAGGCTGAGAAGGAAGAAGTAGGGCCGTACAATTCAACGTATGGCAAGGAACCGGGATGGCCTGGTAGTGTTTGCGGGATAAAATAGATCATACAGCTTTTTCTTTCTGCTGACTTGTTTTTCCACAGCTGTTTTCAGTCAGACATTGTCCTATATCTTCTTACATGTCGAACTCGCCAGCCGCAGAGGGGAGAGGAAGATACAGAAGATACAGGCCAAGGAACCAACAACATCTGAGGAACAAAAGACTTTTTTCGTCCCCCCCAGTACGAAAAAAAATACATTTCATGGAAATGCCCCCCTTTCCTCCCTTCCACACACCCACAATCAAATAACCTCCTCATGCCGACACGAGCACCTCGAACACCGTAGGATATGCCTCGGATGGAACCAGGCCGTCTGCTCGAGCGTGCACGCGAAGTCGACGCCGCAGCTCCTGCACCGGGGGTTGTCGTTGACGAGCCTGACGCAGGCGTCGAGCGCCTTGGCGCGGTCCAGCAGCTCCGAGTGCTCTTCCTTGCACCGCCCCCTCTCGGCCGCGAGCGCCTCCCTCGCGTCCTCGATGCGCGCCTCCGCGGCCCGCAGACGCGAGAGGAAGACGGGCAGCATGTGGGGCGCCAGGGCGGACGCCGGGCCGTTTTTGTCGAATATGTTCTTCTTCTTCTGTTTTTCTCCTTTCTTTCCATTTATTCCCTGGTCTTGTTCCGAGGATGATGTTGATGATGAGGGGGGGAGGAGCATGTCGAGGAGTTCGTCTGCGTGCTCGACGGCTTTGACGGCGAGCATACGGTGGTACTCTGTATCGCTCGTCGGCGACGGGGCCTCGCTATCATCGTTGTTGTTATTGTTGTTGTTGCTGTCATCGTTCTCGTTCTCGTTCTCGTCGTTCCGACCACTGCCGAGAGAGTCCCTGACCAAATCGCAGAAGGCGTCGGCCGACCACTCGCGCACGAGGATGTCGTCGACCTTGGACCGCGCGAGCCGCGACAGCGCGCCGATGTCGTAGTAGTTGGCCACCGAGTCCACGCGGCTGTGGCATTTCAGCCGGTCCGAGACGCTGGTCGGTGCTTCCACTTCCTCTCGTCGTCCTTCTCCTTCTCCTTCCTTCCTTCTCCTTCCTCCTCCTCCTCCTTCTTCTTCTCCTGTAGCATCATAGTCTCTGGCATTGCTGTCATCGTTTCCATCTTCCCGAGACGTCTCGGTCGTGTTGTCTGGTCCATGTTTTCCCGCAATTGGTAAAAAAAAAAAAAAAGTTAGTTTCATCCCCAAGATAAATCATAAGAGTTCAAAGTGAGACTTACCACCACCCACCTTTGCCTTGTCCCCTTCTTCGTCCACGACTTCGAGTAATCGCAGCGCCGGATCCGGAGACAGCTGGTAGTCCCCCGTGTACAGGAACTCGATCAACCTCCTCACGCTCCCGAGATCGAACGGGACGTGGAGGAAGCCGGCGTGCGTGTTCTGTTTTATATTGCCAAATATATAAGTATAAATATATTTTACCACAGGCGATGCAAAACAAAACACATGTACGGGTTGAAGTGAAGTTTTATCAGCTCCCCTTTTCTCCCCCCTCCCTCTCTTGTCTGTTAAAATCCTCACATAACTCTTGCATTTATTTTATTTTTCCTCTCTTCTCCCCTTTTTCCACGCGTAGGAGATAGAGAGTGAAACTTACATCACTAAAACCCTCCCGCAGAGCAGTCGCGATGACGGACGACTGGGCGCACACGACGGCCCTGTGCAGCCTGAACCTGCGGCCCCTGCACACGAGGGTGAAGTCGGTGAAGTCCCTGATGTTGACCAGTTTCTCTTCGAGCGACAGCGAGTCGCCCGTGATGCTGCTCGACATGGTTTTTCCTAAATTTTTCAAAAACTATGTTCGTTTTCCGATGGGAATTAAATATGAAAAAAGTTACATTTGACAAAAAGAATTATGGCTTCAAAGAACCTTTCTTCCCCGGACGTGATATAGGATGATGATGATGATGATGATGATGGCTAACCTTAACAACGTCCAGATGACGGCAGCATTACACGACTTATCTATCTATTATTATCATCTCCCTCACCCTACTCTACTCGACAGGCAACATCCCCGATGCTGGTTAACCTAAACCTACTTTACTTACTTACAACCTTTACCTCACACATTCCCAATGGTAAGGGTCCATCGACCGCGCTCTCTAGTACATCCAACAGTCGAACCTTATAAATTATAACAGCAAAGACGGGATGATGTCAAAGAGGCATACATGTACCTACCCATATACTTACCGAGAGGCTGGCTTATAATCTAAAACCTCAACAACCAATGGTTCGTTTCAGCCCTACAGCTGTCCAGGGAAAAGGGTATATTTTATTTTCCACTCTGCACCTGCAAGTCTGCAACACAACAACCCATCAATAATACCTGTTGCCTCGACGCCAAGTATACTCAATCTCACACACATCTACCAACACACCAAACAACTGGTAGAGGGATTATAAGTTTCATTTACCAATAATGTCGCATAGTTCTATCTTGATTGGTCTAGTGGTAAGGATACCTGCTTGTCATTTGTCATTTCCATCTATCTACATGACTCGAGTTACTCCGAGGCAGAGGAAACGAAAAAAAAAAACGCAGGTGGCCGGGGTTCGATTCCCCGATCGAGAGACACTTTTGTTTTCTATCTGTCTTCCTTTATTTATTTTTGTACAGCTCTACTGCTGTATGGTTTGCTCTCTCTCCAAGTCAAAGCCGTCATCAAAGTAAAGCTCAGACATTAACATGCCGTACAGTAAACCTATGTCTTACATCTCACGTGCAAGATCTAACCACCAAACTTCCCTATACCAGAAATAAATCATTAAATGTTTCTCCTTACACATAACAAACATACTAACTAACCTACGCAACGCGAAAAACACCAAAAATTGCCCCCTAGTCATGCCCGTGCGCCGTACTTTTTGTACCCCGTCAGCCCAGAAGGCCTAAGATCCTGACTATATGTCCGGAATTATGTACAACATACATGCCCCGTGTAGAAAGTTGCGTCCAGAAACCAAAAGGTGGAATACAGTCAGTCTACATGATTTTCCTATCACTCATCAGTGCCACAGCAAGACATGCAAGTTACAATACGGGAAAAATGTCGCCAAACAGTGCCAATCGATTGTTTGTAACTACGCTCTATTTCCACTGTATCGGATGCTGAAAGCCTTTTAGATAATTCGTCAGGTGGAAGACCGTAAAACAAGCCAAGACATTTCCAACACGCCTGAAGACACCACCGCCCCTTTTTTCTGATGGAAGAAAAGCTGGTCATTCAATCATTCGTAAGCAAGGGAAGAGAAAAGAAAAAAAGGACGACACGGGAGCCGCCAGCCTCTTGTCTCCACGACAGTGGACCGGCGGATGTGGTAAACAATGGGTGCGAAAATCAAGATGCCTCGCTCATGAACATTGCCCGCCTAAGCCATCATTATAGGCGGACGTTTTTTTATCTCTGCATCGAGTGTCGTCCATCGAGTGTCTCGTTCAGCTCGCGTCAACGTGGCGGAATATTATGTCGTCTCGCAGAATTAGAGTCCGCAGCCGTCAGTTCATCAAGCATTTACAATGCCGTAAAGGCCGTTTGTGAATTAAAAAAAAGCAGTTCGAGTTCGTAATGTTCGTAATCGGGTGGCGTTCAACTGACTGGTGGAAACACGTCGTTGCTCGGTCCTTTCAGGCCGAATACAGCGCTACGTCATCTAAGGGAGAATCAAAAGGAGTGTGGACATGTGCGGCCCTCTTCAGCGCCTCCGAACGCCGCCTCCGACAGCGGTAGCAGGGCGGCTCAGCGCATCGTAGCCAGGCGCGGGCAAGGTCCCATCGACAAGTGTCTTCCGACGCTTGTGATCCAGACCTCCGCTCGGAGGCCCCTGAAGGTCGTCCTCGTCTTCGCGTCCCCGCTTCTTGCCAGGTACGCCACCTAGCGAGCCAGGCGTGCCATATCCGTTCTGAAGAGCAGAGCCCATGTCACTCTGCGAGCCGTACACGTCGGAAGGTGGTGCGCCATTAGGTGCCGACCGATCGTTGCTCATCACGTTGTAGAGGCTGCTCGACGTCGCGGGGGCACGTGGCGGACTGCTGTACCCGGATTGCTGTGGGTAGTAAGGCTGAGGCGGTGCAGCCGTCCGTGGCGTGGCTCTGCCGGAGTGGGCTTGGTGTCCGGGAGACCCGGTCATGTCAGACGACATGTGCTGATGATCGGCTGGCATAGGAGCAGCTGGCGGGGCCGCGTTGTAGTTGTACGCGCTCCGACTCGCGTCGTAAGCACCGCTGTCGTGCGTGTACTCGGCCTCGTGCTCGGCCTCGTCCTCACCGCCGGCGTGGTGCTCTCCGTGCTGCATAATACCATTGGGCGCCTTCACATCGGACCCTTCCGCACCCCCGTGCCGGCCTGAGGGAGGGCCCATTTTCATGTACGGATTTGCCTGGCCGTACACGTGCCTCTCTTGAGGACTGTTGTTCGACGAATACTGCGCTTGCTGGCCCGCGTGGCTGTAGACCCCTCGGCTATTGTCGTAGGCTTGCGTGACCTGAGGGTACGACTGCATGCTCTGCAGAGAGTTTCCCGGTGGTGTCGTGGCCGGCGTGGCAGGCATCGATCGAGCAGCGTTGCTCAGGCTGGTGTCGATGGGCATAGGGTTCGCCGCCTGAGAACCGTTCATGCCTTGTTGACTCCAGCCGTACTCGGTGGGACCCATGCCGTTCATCACACCTGAACCAGTAGTGGGTGGCGTTGGGAACGTCTGGGCGCGTTCCAGGGACCGACGTTGGGATCCGTTGTGCGGGGGCAGGGCTTGCGCGCCTGGCAGGCCCATGTGATGGTGATGCTGGCCTATCGAGGGCAACGCGCCAGCTGGAGGCGGCGGTCCGGCGGCAGGGCCATTTCGTATCTGGCCCGTCTCTTGCTTCCGACGTTCGGCGGCAGCCATGACCTGATTGGTCCTATTCTGGTTGGTAGGGTGATAAAGCAGAGCACCAATGTTATGGACAAACAGCGGGTACAGCATCTCCGTGATCTTTTCTTTATTGGCAAAGTCCAAAGCCCGCTCGAAAGGTATCCTGGCGTGGGCACACCGTTAGCTTGACCGAGTTTCCGGCGCAGTCCGAGACAAAAACACTCACCAGACACCCTTGAGGTGCATAGGCCCTATTTTTACAACATGCCGTATCTTCTCACTCTTCAGAATACCGTCTCGCCGTCCTCTGGTCATGCCAGCAACGTTCAACAACTTGGTGCCGTTGATCATATGATTATCTGTAGAACCGTCAGTAAATTAGGCGCGAAACCGGTACGACACACACAGGTCCACTCGTCCGTCACCTTACCTTCCCTCCTTGCCACGCAGATACCCCTGGCCTCGACCTGAAAACAAAGACTGCCCTCGTCCTCCCAGAGCGTTGCTGTGACCCGAGGTTTCATCCCCGGCGGAGCTATCTGACCAGTTGTATCGGAGCCTTGATACTGGTTTTGCATATGTGCTTGGTTCGGAACTCCAGGCAATGGCAACACATTGGTCAGGGGCCCCGACACAGCCGGGGGCGCTGATTGCGGCGAGCTCAAGCCATTCGTATAGTTGTAGGCGTAATGGCTCGGACCGGGGGCATAGTGCGGTTGAGGTCCTGGCGGAAGCAGGGGTGGCTGCTGCTGCTGCTGGCCATAATGAGGCGGAAGGGAGCTTGACGTCACCGTCTGAGGTGGCGGCGCCGGACCAGTCGATAGATGGTGCTGCTGCTGCGTATAATACATGTCTTGTGGCGGATTCATCGCTGGATACTGATTGTTCAATCTACCGTTGAGTGGCTGTGCCGATGCTCTTGCGGTCAAGGGCGGCAGATACGGCGACGGAGTCTTGGGGCCGTTCGTAGACGACGGAGAGTCGCCGTTCGCAACTAACGCAGGGGTCGCGGAGCTCACCCGGGGAGACAAGTTGTTCGAGGTGTATGGAGGGTATGTCACCAGTGGTGGCGGTAAAGCGGGCGAATACAACTTCTCTTGCCCATACGGGTTCAAGTTGTTGGCGTCGTACTGCGATGGATGAGCCACGTCCCAAGATCCCCGGGTAGGCTGATTATAGGAAATCGACGGTAAATCCAGCTTTGCGGTATTAAACAAAAGTCTGCCTAGTTAGGCCGTCAACGTGAGAGTCGGATCCAGCTGACGGATAGCTGGGGGAGAAGGCGAGAATCGAATGTCCGGGGCAGCGAGGAGGCGAGCAATTGTATTACACGGTACGCCGTTGTTGTTTCTGGGGGGCGGGAATTCGGGCCCTCGACGCAGTTGCAAGAATAGCGGGATGCTGACGCTCGGACAAACGGGGAAAAAGGAAATTGCGGTGCTCGAAGTCTATCAAGGTTCGTGAATTGAGGTGCTCGTAATGGGTCGTCAATTGGAGAAAAACGGTCGTCAGAGGACTCTCCCCTTCCTCTAATATCCCGGCAGCGTCTACCAACAGGTCAACGAGAGCCGCGTCGTGTGCGGAGACAGGCAGTTTCCTGGAATCGCCCGTATGAGCAATTACAAACAGGAGGCCCTCCGTATGCTAGACCAACGTCCTCTTTCAAAGCCTTTCGAATGTGTTCGTATCGATTTTCCCCCCTTCTTTCAACCCGTTGAAAACCAAAGCTTCCACACCACAAGCAGTTTGAAAACGCTGACGCAACCTGAACAACGCGGCCTTTCCCGGACTGTGCTTTTGGCAGGCTGATTAGCGCTTTATTCTCTAGAGCACGCAATGGGGGGAATCGCCAGTCACGACGGGCATGGGCGAGAACTGAGTCCAGTTGGAGAGGCCGTGTATGCTTGCTCGCATATGCAGCGTACCTTTAAATCTCTGAACCGTCTCAACTTCAACCCCAGAAATAGGCCGGTTCCGATCGAAAGAGAGGATGGGGCAAAGCGAGGGAGAGGAAGGGAGAGAGCAAGGAAAAGAGAGGAAGGCGAGTGAGGAGACCGAACTAAGAACGCCGCGCCCTGGTCGGTGGTGAGGAGGCAGGTAGGTCGGAGGAGGGAGAGGAAAAGAAGGAGGAGGTTGAGGTGGATAATAAGTACGAACAGAACGGAAAGGCTAACGTGCATGTAAATAGGTACAAGTCGGTGCTGGGGTACCGGGGTATGAGCTTAGTAGAGGGGGAGGTATTTTTCTACGCCAGGATACCTAAGTATCTGGGTGTGTCGCGACTCCTTTGGGTGCAGTTGCCATGTACTACTTCCTGCCCAAGACCCGGCATAAGGAGCAAAGGAACTCTTTTTGCCCTGTCAAGTTGGGTGAATGATAAGTACCTAGCTGCTGTACTGCTGTGGTGAATAACCAACCTGGGAAGGTAGACCATGAAGAGACCACTGTACCAGAAACCGATTTTTTTTTTACCTCTCCCCCTCATCGACCCGTTGCACTGATATCTGGGCTATCCTTGCAAGTACCTAGCATGGTTGCTGTCCCAGTACAATGAGCGCCCACCGATACACGCTACCTGGCCCCCCTCTTCGAGCGCTACCTTCGGTGAACACTATCTGGATCCATGTAAGTTACAGGGTCTTCAATTGTGAAGCTGGTGTTTTGATGGAGCCTTATGAGCCAATGCTCCCTCCGTAGCCCTGACATACTGGATTGAACTATCCT